CAACCCTGCCAACCAGCTGTATGCAGTTCTGCCCTAACTGCCTTGGGCTCGTGGATTGTGGATCGTGGCTCGTGGGGGTGGGGCTAGAGGATATGGGTGGGAGGCAGAGGGGAAGGGGTCTTCTCTATGCAGCCGCGAGGAAGCCGTCATCCCTCCTGGGTGCAGACTGTCCAGTGTGGCCGCTTTAAGGTCACCTCTGCTCCTGCTCATAGCTTCCCGCTGTCTGTCCTGTAAGTATGCCTAACTCACTGGTCCCCCCTCCTCACCTCCCCGTGAATTTTGGTGGAATTTTGGGTTGTTCTTGGAACTTTAGAATGAGGAATAAATATTGTGTATGTCTCCCCCAGAGGAGTTTTAGCAACACCGCTCTTGCAGAGGACCTGAGTTTGGTTCCCAGCATCCAAATCAGCAGTTCATAACTGCCTGTAACACACACACACACACACACACACACACACACACACACACACACACACACACACACACAGATTGAGATCTGTTTGTATGTGCATGCCTGTTTGCTGGTTCACAAGGATGGAGACCAGAAGAGGCTGGCCGGTGTCCTCTATCACGTAGGCCAGAATTGCTCAGCCTCCTCTGCCATTCTCTGCCTATTTTTTTGAGACCGAGTCTTTCCTGCACCTGGTGCTGGTGTTTCTTGGGTAGGCTATAAACCAGTAAGACCCAGTGGTTCTCCTGTCTCTGTCCCTCTGGGCGGGTGCCCAGCTTCTTAGGTGGGTGCTGGGGTGGAACTCTGTTCCTCCTGACTGGACAGCAAGCACTCTCTCTGCCACTGAGCCAGCTCTTTCCCGGTTAGAGGGTTGTTTTTTTTTTTTAGATTTATATATATATATGCCTGCAGGCCAGAAGAGGGCACCAGATCTAGTTACAGAGGGTTGTGAGCCACCATGTGGTTGCTGGGAATTGAACTCAGGACCTTTGGAAGAGCAGCCAGTGCTCTTAACCTCTGAGCCACCTCTCCAGCCCAGAAACAAAAATTTTAAGAAACTGAAAACAAAAGATACATGTATAGTCTGCTAGGTTTCTGCGATTACTGAGGATGGGGGCCAGCATTCAATTAGACAGTCTTGACTCCAGACAATAATAAAGCTCTGACAGCAACCAAGGAGGGACAGCAGCTTTCGAAGATGAGCGAAGAAGAACGTCTCCTCAAATCCTGTCTCTCTTCGGTCTCCCAAAGTGTGCTGAGATGGAATACGGCATCCGACCCCGCGCTTCCCGCGGGAGGCAATGGTGACGATAACATGCGTCCTCAGGTCCAGGAAGTGTCCATCAGACGCTGCCCTTACACGGTGCAGCCACCAGGTGGCGGCGGAGGCGCAAGATCGAGCACCGACGGAGCCCCACCCTGCATGCTGATAAGGCAGGCGCAGGGCCGTTAAACCTGCGGCTCCTGGGTGGCCGCTGTGGCAACCTTCCTGGAGATGGTCTGTACGCCCTTGGTGTCTTTTTTTTTTTAACTTTTTAAAACCAGCAACAATAACTATTTTCCAACAGGTCACGTTTCCATTGCTTCAGCGTTTTCCTCCCAGAAAACACAAGTGTTAGAACTGGATCGCTTGGCCCGTTCCTCGGCCGGCCTCCTCCTCCTCCGGGGTCTGCAGCCGGCTCCACCCATGCAAGCCCGAGCACAGCCCCCTTGGTGGTTCTGGCCCTCTCTCGCAACACTGGCGTTGTCTGCCCAGGGCAGCCACTCTGATGCTGAGCCTGCAGGGGGGACTCCTTGCCCTGCTCATGCTGGGTCCCTTTGTGAGGCTGGTGCTTGCCACGTTTCTTACAGAAAGTCCTGCGGGTTTTAGGGACGTCTGCAGTAGAGGTGTCTCTGCGATCGATGAGGACGAAAGCCCGGGTTTCCGAGGGCCTCAACCGCACGAGCCGAACAGGAAAGGGCCCGCCCGTGGTGTGGTGCCCTGAGAGGTCTCAGGATGTGGATGAATGAGGAAGAGACAGAGGCAGAAATGCGCCTCCAGAGCTCAGCCTGCCTCTTCAGCAGGAGCCCTTTCCTTTGCTTTGCGAGTTCTGGTGGGTAGAGAGCGCCCCAGCTGAGAAAGTTCCTCATTGTGCAGCCGTATTTCTGGCAAGCAGATCACCTGTCTCTCTTCCGACCTCGGTCGTCTTTTCCCACTTGTAGACTTCTGGGAACGTGGAGAGCCTGGGTAAGAAGAGATAGAGAACTGTGCACACCTCAGGAAGTCCTGCGATAGGATGGGGCAGCCTAGAGAAAGGGAAGTGAAGCTTAAGATTTCTCTTTGATGCAGTATCGCTGTTGAGTCCTGTTTCTGCAGGGGAAGTAGGGTTGGTTACTAGGGAGAGATTAGGTCTGTAGCTGTGTGTGTGTGTGTCTCAGTCACTCTCCTATTGCTGTGAAGAGGCACCATGACCAAGGCAGCACTTACAAGGGAAAGCATTTGTCTGGTGTGGTGGCGCACGCCTTTAATCCCAGCACTCAGGAAGCAGAGGCAGGTGGATCTCTCTCTGTGAGGTTGAAGCCAGCCTGGGCTACAGAGCGAGTTCCAGGACAGCCAGGGCTGTTACGTAGAGAAACCCTGTCTCAAAAAAGAAACAACCAAACAACAACAACATGAAGAAGAAGAAGAAGAAGAAGAAGAAGAAGAAGAAGAAGAAGAAGAAGAAGAAGAAGAAGAAAGCAAGCATTTTGCATTTTACTGGGGGCTTGCTTACAGTTTTAGAAGTTTAGTCCTTTATCGTCTTGATAGGGAGCACGGGGCAGGCAAGCCTGTGCTGGAGAAGAGCTCAGAGCTACATCCTCCTGATGCCTAGGCTTGGCATGGGCTTTTGAAACCTTGGAGTCCACCCCCCAGAGACACACTTCTTCCAACAAAGCCACACCTCTTAATCCTTTTCAAATAGTGCCAATCCTTGGTGACTAAGCATTCAAATGCAAGAGCCCATGGGGGCCATGCTTCTTCAAACCACCACAAGCTGGTAGTTTTTATCTGGCTGTGCTTGTTTTATTAAAGCTGCTTTAAGCCCTTCCAGACCATCCTCTCTCAGTCCAGCCAATACTTTGGGCCCTTGTCTTGGGTCTAGTAGCACCTAGAGGACCAGGGGATGATGGATGATTCTAGAAAGGTCATGCAGCTCACAGGCACCTGTCATCTTTTTTGAGACAGGGTCTCAGGTAACCTAGGCTGTCCTTGAATTTACTTTGTGGCTGGGGATAACTTTGAATTTCTAATCCTCCTGCCTCTACCTCTCGAGTGCTGAGATTACAGATGTGTGCCACCATATTTGGTTTTATAGGGTGCTGGAGATGGAACCCAGGGCTTTATGCATGCTAGATGTTGTAGTTTGGGTTTCTGTTGCTGTGACGAAACACCATGACCAAAAGCAAGTTGGGGAGGAAAGGGTTTATTTGGCTTATGTTTCCATGTCATAGTCCATCACTGAAGGAAGTCAGGACAGGAACTCAAGCAGGGCAGGAACCTGGAGGCAGGAGCTGATGCAGAGGTCATGGAGGGGCACCACTTACTGGCTTGTTCATCATGATTTACCCAGCCTGCTTTCTTATAGAACCCAGGACCACCAGCCCAGGGATGGAACCACTTACAATGGGCTGAGCCCTCCCACACCAATCACTAATTAAGAAAATACCTTATAGCCAGATATTTGTTTGTTTTGTTTTTGCTTTTTGAGACAGGATTTCTCTGTGTAGCCCTGGCTTCCCTGGAACTCTCTCTGTAGACCAGGCTGTCCTCGAACTCACAGAGATCCACCTGCCTCTGCCTCCCGAGTGCTGGGATTAAAGATGTGCGCCACCACCTGCTCTTACAGTCAGATCTTAGGGAGGCATTTTCTCAATCGAGGCTTCTTCCTCTCTGATGACTCTAGCTTGTGTCAAGTTGACATAAAACCAACCAGTAAACTAGGCAAGCAATCAACCAACCGCGCCATATCCTCAACCCTTACCCGTCAGTTTGATCGGAGAAGCATGGACCCATCAGCATATATTCTGCAGAGTGGATGTCACCACAGAGGGAACGTCCTCCCTGCCTCCAGGGAAGCCACATGTTCAGCAAGAGCCTGACCTGTTCCAGCAGATCCCAGTACTGGTAGAAGAAAAGCTGAAGGAGCCAATGGGCTCCTTCCAAATCCGTAAAAGTGACCCCTGAGGCCTTCATCTGATCGTCACAAGAACAAAACACACGTGTTTATTTTTTGGCCACTTACATGGTCTTAAACACCCAAGGAAAATGCAAGCCAAACAGTAACGTTACAAAATAAAATTCTACCAACCCCCGACTGGGATTCCCATCTTGGCCTGGTTTAGTTGGGAGCCACCAAAGCTCTTAAGAGTCCTCCAAAGACAGTCATTCAATTAAATAGCTACAGCTCGTGTACAAACCTTCCTTGTCCTTGAAACTCCCAACCTTGGGGGGCCTTCTACTGCATCTCGGGTGACAAAATTACCAGGAGGCTGGTTTCTCACCAAACCCACAGTCAGACTTAAATTCTGCTACCACTGCCGGGTCCCAGTGCTTGCCCACAGCCGGGAGATGGTATTAGCTTAGAGGAAGCAGCCATTGCCACCAGTACCTGTCTCCCACCACTGAGGACTTTCTCAAACTCTGGGCAAAGGATGTCCAAGCTTTGCTATGTGATCACCACCTTCCACACCCCTTTGACCTTAAGGCCTTTTTTTTTTTCTTTTTAAGATGTATTTATGTATTTTATATATCTGAGTGCTCTGCTTGGGTGTATACCTGCACTCCTGAAGAGAGCATCAGATTCCACTGTGGATTGTTGTGAGCCACCATGCGGTTTCTGGGGATTGAACTCATAACCTCTGGAAGAGCAGCAAGTGCTCTTAATGACTGAGCCATTTTCAAGTGGTCCCTCCTCTCCCTTAAAAGGTAGCTCAAGCCTTTATGGGTCTGATCCCAGGACAGATCAGCAGTGCCAACCAGCACCAACCCACATGCCTCTCAGCCTTGAAGCAATTCCTCAGTGATTCATCTTGGTGACCCAGTCATGGGGAAATGCAAAATAAATAAATAAATAAAAAGACAGGGCCAGTGAGGTGGTTTGGTGTCTGCCGTCAAGCTTGACAACCGGAGGAACCCACATGGTGGAAAGAGAATCAAGCCCTGCAAGCTGCCCAACACACACAGTGGTAGCTCACTCCTTTATTCCCGGCACTTGGGAGGCAGAGGCAGGTGGATCTCTGTGAGTTCAAGGTCATCCTGGTCTACAGAGAAAGTTCCAGGACAGCCAGGACTACACAGAGAAACCCTGTCTCAAAAAACAAAAAATTTATTTTATGCATAAGGATTGCCCCCACCCCAGTCAGCTCAGAATACACTCAAGACACCAAGTTCTTAGCACAAAGATTTATCACCCTGGAGGGGCAAGCGGGGTTGGGGGCCGCCTCTGGATCGGACCAAGGCAGGCAGCAAGCAGCAGGTTTTTTTTTTTCTTTCTCCATGAGTGGGTTTTTAAGGAGAAAAAGGGGGAAGCCTGTGTTAGTATGAGCACTTCCTGCTGATATTGGGGTATCTTTGTTAGGGAACCAAGGAAGCTAGAACTTTGGTTAAGGTTGGGAAGAGCAGGCTGTACCAGCTGCTGTCCAGGCTCTGAGGACCATCTGGGGCTAGGGAGGAACAGGCAAGATTGGAGCGGTCTGTGAGGCTGGACCATCTGGGGCTAGGGAGGACCAGGCAGGATTGGAGCGGTCTGTGAGGCTGGACCATCTGGGGCTAGGGAGCAACAGGCAAGATTGGAGCGGTCTGTGAGGCTGGACCATCTGAGGCTAGCTGCTTTGGAGCTGTCTAGGATGCAGATTCCGAGGGAACACCTGGGGCTGCTGGGCAGTTTGGAGTTGACTTGAAATCTACTGGGACAGATAGGCAGGGTTAAGGCGTTGGAGGACTTTTGTCTTGGGTATACATTCGAAACCTTTAGACCCATGGTCTTGGTAGTTAGGGGAGGAGAGACCCAAGACCAGGGAAACGGGGAGAGATCCCACCTTTAATAATAGACAGATGAGGAAATTTAGGCTGTTGGTTGATGGGAGTACTTACTTATCTGAGGCTTTTGACTTGTGACAGATGGATTCAAGTTCATTTCCTGAAGGTTATACAAATTTTTTTTCTGTTTCTTTTTTACTTTTATTTTCATTATGTCAAATTTTTAAAGTTTATAAAAGAGGTAAAAGTTTTAGATATGTTAGCATTACTATTATAATCTATACTGAAATCCATATTGTATAAAGGGCAGTAGATTTGTGTCTTTGAGTCATAGTCAACGTTTGGGAATCCAAACAAGAGCATGGAGACAAGGAAACCTGAAACAACTTTTCATGTACCTTAAATCACTTTCTCAGACCCTCACAACTTATTTAAACTCTTATACCCTCAGACCTTAGACCTTTATAACTTTCATTTACAGACTTTCACAAAGCTTTTACATCCTCAACCTTCATAACTTGTACCATTGTCTTAAACTGTCAAAACTTCAGACCTTTATAACTTGGTGAGAGGGAAAGGTAGGGGGTCATAAATGGAGGTGGGGTTGGTTCACTGACATACACTGTAGGCTTGAGTTAGGTTCTGTAAAAAAAAGTTTTATCTGCGGACTAGAGAGGAGATGTCTCAGCAGTTAAAAGCACTGACTGTTCTTCCAGAGGACCTGGGTTCAGTTCCCAGCACCCACATGGCGGTTCACAACTGTCTGTGACTTCAAGAGCTGACACCCTCACACAGACATACATGCAGGCAAGACACCAACGCACATAAAACTTTTTAAATATATAATTTATTTTTATTTTACCTGCTGGGGCGAGAGTCAGGTGAGTCTGGAGAAAGGATAGAAGAGATTTAATATTAGAGTGAAATACTTGATGTGAGTAGCAGATGACGTCCTGAGTGGAAGGGTTAGGGGGGGTGGTATCTGGATTATAGAGAAGGGCAGCCTGTAGCTAAGCGGGGTGAGTGTTAAAGGATGAAAAGGCAGCCTGATGGGCCGACATGCCGACATTATTGCCTTTAGTGAGAATGGGGGCGTCAGTCTGATGTGCCTTGCAGTGAACCAAGCCAATCTGAGAGGGTAAAAGAGAAGCCTTGAGGAGTTATGGATAAAGGAGGAGTTAGTAATTATGTTGTCTTTTTGTTGCTTGTTTTGGTTTTTCTTTAAATATTTACTTATTTGTATACAGTGTTCTGGCTGCACGTCTGCCTGCATGCCAGAAGAGGGCGCCAGATCTCACTATAGATAGTTGTGAGCCACTATGTGGTTGCCGGTAATTGACCTCTGGAAGAGCAGCCAGTGCTCTTAACCACTGAGCCATCTCTCCAGCCCCTTGTTTTGGTTTTTCAAGACAGGGTTTCTCTGTGTGTATTTTCTTGGCTGTCCTGGAACTTGCTCTGTAGACCAGGCTGGCCTCCAACTCATAAAGATCCACCTGCTGCTCCTGCCTCCCAAGTGCTGGGATTAAAGGTGAGCACCACCATTTCCCGGCTTACGTTGTCTTTTGTATTTAGAAATCCTCATTCCTTCCAGATGACTGGGTGTGTTAGCAAGATATGGAAAGCATATTTTGAGACAATAAATTATGTATTTTTTGGCAAATTGGAAGGTTCTGGCAAGGGCTGTTAATTCTGTTGATTGGTAGTGCGTGGGGGTAAGGAGGTTGGCATCGTCTGAGACCACTGCATATCCTTCAACACAGTGGCCATCTGACAGAAAGGAGCCGCCGTCTGCATAAAAAGTGTAGGCAGAGGAGAGAAGCAGCTAAAGGACCCTCTTGTATGTGAGAGGAATAGGAGAGGAGGTCTTCGAGAGTCTTTGGACAGGAGTGTAGAGGATCTGGGGAACGTTGAGGCAGATAGATAAGCGTGGATGGATTGAGGGAGGACAGGTAAGGAATGTGAATCATGTGTTTTTGATAGAAGTTTGGAGGGATGGAATCCAAGATGACGGAAGGCAATGGAGTCCTCTGTAAGTTAGGACTTGAGATAGAGAGTCGTGAGACTAGATTGTGAGGGGTGAATCCCAGAGTTAATTGGTTAGATTTAGGAGCAGAGAGCTTGTGGACAGGAAGGCCAGCCACAGAAGGTGTTGCCTAGAGTGTCTCCAGCAAGTCTACACCTTCTGATCCTTCTCAGGTAGCTGCACCCCCTAACGACCATGCACTTACACATATGAGCCTGTGCGGGCCATTCCTATTCAAACCAGCTAGGAACTGAACCTGGGTTGTGGCGAGAGATTCCACAGAGCCATTGCATGTGACTTGAATTCGTAGGCTTTGAACTACCTTTTGTTTAAAGTCCGTGATTCTTATCTGAGTTCTTCCTGAGGGAATTCCAGAGTTTTTGCAAAACTTAGTAACGAGAGAATCTGGCAAACCGGTGAGGTCTCATGGCTGAGAATTGTTTACCCAAATGGTTCCTTCAGACAACTCCAGATAAGAGGTCTTGATGCTCAGAAATTGCTTGCTAAAGGCGTAAATTGTGTAACGATAAAGAGGCTTTTTGCAAAGTAACGGGAAGTAATGGGTGGTCAGTTCATCAGAAGCTGGCTGGCTCTGATGCTTTTCGCTAAGCCTGAAATTACAT